TGGCACAATTTTTCGTTCTAAAACAAAATTTCACCCAAGTCCTCACCTGAAAAGTCTCATCAAACAAATCAACATTTAACAAAATCACTGCTCTTTAACTTTACAACAACACCTTTTGATGAAAACCAAGGAGTTAAAAATTAAAGCCATAATGCAAAGTGGTCGGTATGTCACAGACAGCATAAAGCATAAAGTCTCGTCGAAGCAACAAGAAGGAATGCGGATAAAAAAATTAAAACATTTTTGGATAAAAATGCTCTAAGAATTGCTAAACTCAATGTTTCCTTCTTCATTTTCCGTTTTCTTATCGACTTCCATGCCCTTAACATCTGTTTTACAGTCGAAAATACGCATTGTCCAATTAGTCAAAAAATCTAAAAACAGAATTGTTACCACTCGCTAATTGCATCTTTTTTTTTCCCCTAAATAAAATAACAAGTGCTTCAACAACAACAACAAGTGTCATTTTTACAAATTATACGACTGAGTATCAAAACCCACAAAAACAGAGAGGATCAAAGTTCTTATACTATTGGAATGAATACATGAAAAAATACTGAATGCTCCAAATCAAATGAAAAGAAATTAATCATATACCATTAACAGTATCAAACACGCCTGGTAACTGTTTTGGTCGTACCAACAAGAAATATATTCCAATACCACTGGCAAGAAAGACCAAACTTATTAATGTCATTTTAACGTTTTGAATCACTGGCACGACAGCCAAAACCAAATTGATTAAAAAGAAGAGGATGGTTAATACCAGTGGTAACCTAATAGCCCCTAAATGGAAGATTTTTATCATAAGCAAAATGAAAACAAAAATTTTATACTAAAATAATTTCCACCAAAAATCAAACCCCCTGTTACACAATAGTTGTTTTACCTTCGTGTACCGGAATATGACGTATTCTAATATAAAGAAGAGCAAGCATTGTTACCATTCGTTGTAAAATCATTGCAAATGATACATAAGATATCAATGTCGTGACGTCCATGAAGACCATTATAAAAGTTAGGAAACCCTAAAAGCTTTTGGCTAGTTAGCTTCCCTCCGTCACAGGTTTCATGCAGTTCATTACTTCAAAGCTTCTGTAAGAATTAAAACAGCTCCGTTATAACTATTACAAATACCTGGGCAAATAATGATGGACGTGGACTACCAGTTCCTTCATTGATACAGCTCAAAAACGGTGGCAGATGACCCTCTTTTGCTGCTGCATACATGTAGCTTAAATCATATATAAGATTAATGGTAGAAGTGTAAATAAGCATTTTATTCGCAAATGAATCTGTAAAGTAGAATATTAGCGACTACGCTTTGAGTAGATATTAAAATAAATTCATCTAACCCAACAAATTACTTACCGGCTTGCACAAAAAATGTTGCTGTTCAGTGTACCACAAATTAGAATAGCCACCATAAAAGGAATTGCATATGAAAATTTACCAAATACTCGCTGACTGAATGACTAAAAGAAAAGAAAAAAGAAATTCATGTAAAATATGAGACAGAATCATTATCGCTATTTATCGATAAATTAAAAAAAATGAAAAAAGAATAAAGTGATTTTCTTTACAGCAGCAATAGCATCCGTCCCTTTCACTTCGTCAACAGACATAACAGCAAAATATGCGACATTTATAGCCGTATAAATCAATGATACAGTAGTGATACCGGTAATTAACGAGAGGGGCATATTCCTGGAGAAATATTCTGCTTCATAAATGTTAACAAGTATGTTCAACACCTACCTTCTCGGGTTGCGAACCTCGGTTGTACCATAATTAAGCACATCCCATCCAGCATAGGACCATAAGCCAGCATAAAATGCTAACACTATACCAACTATATTCCAGTTACTATGTTCCATAGGCTTTTTTAGGTCCTGTGTAACTTCTGTAAGTCAAGTTAACAGTAAAACACAGTAAAATAACAAAAAGGAATAGAAGTGCCATTTTTTCTGCTGTTTAAAGCTTAAGATACACAGAAAAAATATTTTAGAAAGCCCATTTAAGAGTTTCTGTGATTGTGCTAAAAAGTTGTATCGTTCCTTCAAAGCAGAAAATAAAAAATCTAACCTTTGCAAAGGAGCCAATACAACCCCCCAACAATAATTAGTCCCATAGAACCGAGTTTAGCTATTGTTGCTACTATTTGGAATTTTGATACAACTTCTCCAAGTGAATAAAAGTTAATCCAGACTATTATTGCTAAAAAAAGAATTTATTTAGTATTATTTAACAACGGGTGTAAGAGGCAAGAAGAAAAGCTTTAAAAAGTTGAACATTGTCCAGAACATATCAAAGTTTCTAAAGCTTGACGAAGAAAGAATTGTCAAATGTTTTTAAAAAAGTTGTAAGGATTTACCCAACAAAAGTAGTCCAATCCCAGTTTCAACAAATGTTTCATAGGAGGGATCCAATTTATAAAGCGGCGAAAAACCTTCCACCAAGTATCTTCCAAAGGTTTGTGCTTGAATAGCAACTGAAGCGGGATATGTAAGCAATACACCAACCCACATGAAGGCAAATGCTATTGGCGACCTATAAAACACAGTTCTGAAAAAATTGCTATCTTTGACTTCACTCTCTAGTAAACTCAAAATAGCTGTAAAAATTTTTAAAAAAATATACTGTAATAACGCAAGTTCATCACGTAAACAATTTTTAATGATTTATTCAAACCACAATTATTTGGAAAGAAAAGTAGCTGAAAAAATTCTATACAGATATGACAAATTAAAAGTGATAAAACTCGCCATTTAACGTAGCACATATAGGCGAAATCACAACCAGGCTCCAAAATACTCGTTCCCAATTCTATGTAAACAACAGCTCCTAAAAAAGTACAGAAATTCAAAAAGAAAAGCAGAGTACTTATTCGTTAAATAAGCTGAAGTCTAAAAGTTTAATGTTTGAAGACTGTAATCTTAGGAAAATTAAAGAAGAATATCTCTGGGAAAAAAAAAACGAGAAGTTTGAGTATTAAATAAGACCTAAAAGGGATATCAGTCCACAGCTGATCCAAACAACCAACGACAGACCAACTGAATCCACTGATTGCAGTACCCCAGATGGTGTTATGAATATACCCGAACCAATGATATTTCCGATCACATAGCTTGTGCAACTGAAAAAGCCTATCTTGTTGCTTTCGCTCTTCTCATTTTCTACCTTCTCGACATTGGTCTTGGTACCTGCCTCCATTCGTTCCTTCTCTGAACAACCAAAAATAACACAGTTAAGAAACGTCAAAAACTAGTAACTTTCGACATAAAACTATCAAAGTTTCAACCTATCTCCCTTCAGCCCTAATTATCAAATATATTTGTATGGCTTTGAAAGTTTTTCAAGTTATGTATAACTGCCTCATTTGTATTGTACCTAAAAACAAGTTAAAGAAGAACATCCTATGACGATTGCGCAGCAATCCAAAAGACGAAAAAAAATTAAAATCCAAAACCTTTTTTTTTTTTGAGCAAGATAACCCCAATTATAGCATCTAAATTTTAAAAAAGTGATTAAGCCATATACGAATAAACTTTAAAAAAAACAGTTAAAGAAATTTAAATAGTAAAAAAACTAATTTACATAAAAAATATGGTGATCCACTCTTATCTTAACAGTTGAAACCGGTAATGCAATCGTTGCAGTTAAACAGTTTGATCATAAATATATGTGTACAGATTTTTAATTAAACTTAAAAATTTATTTTTAAAAAATACAATAAAGTAATAATAAAAAGTTTAAGATTCTATATGCCAAATTTAAAAGTTCACATAATTTTTGAAGATTAAAATTTGTTACCCCTATATAATTTTACACTAAAGTATGAAAACCGATTGGTATATTTTTACAGTAGCGAAACAAGAAATCAGCAAAAACATTTCAACATCTATACGATTCTGTTTTTGCAAAAATATTCAAAAAAAAATTCCTCTTTTAACTCTGTCTAAGCGAAGCAAAAGAAGAAATTTATTTTTTTTTTTTAGTTCCGTAAACGTCTGGTCACACCAAGCAAAGAAATTTTTGATGCTGTTGACTCCATTACTGATATTATCAGTTAGCAATAACAACAATGTCAACAGTGCTAGACAAGTCTTGACAGTGATAAGCATAAACGAAAAAAAAAAACTAGCAAATAATTTTCTTCCAAACTAAAAATGTATTATTGGAACACCATAACAGAAAACAGTTAGCCTAGAAAAGTGTATAATCAAGATGAGCCTACATAAATTTTCAGAATAAACAAGCATCAATTTCAGTTTTATAGTCAATCTTCAAAAGATGCACTTCACTTGTTTAACATAATGTTTGTTTTCTTTTTTTTTTTTTTCCTCTCCCCTGCCAATCATCCAAATATCAACTTAATTCTATAAAAATATAAAAAAGTCTTTTTGAACAATAATTTTGCGACAATTACTATGTAATTCAAAATAAAAGTACTGTACAGATAAAGACAAATATAGAAATGTCTTTTGCTTTTGTGGAAACCTATCATTTCGCTATCGCATTGTCTTCCACCAAAACTGAACTACTATAAATGTCTATAACTGTTTTTTTTCCC